TTTTCTTGTATTTTATCGCTCTGCTGACCCTTGGGGTCCATTTTATTTTGGTATACCTTTTCTAGGTACGTTAGCCTGTGACCACGGAAATTGGCCGAGTCAAGTGATGGATTAGTACGGAGAGATTGAGACAGAAGGAGGTACTGGATAGAGAGACCGGGATGGTTTTTAATGTGAAGACAACAACAACAACAACAACATGGTTGAATGTCGGAGGGAAAAAGTGAACAAAATGGTCTCTCGAATCCAGTTTTTCGGCGATAACTTCATCAATTTTTGCTGAAATCGAAATCGGAAAAAAATTCCACCTGGGGAATCGCGAGAGCTGTCGAAATCCGGTCTCATAATTGTGGTCTGACAAAAGCCCACCCCAGGAAAAAGTGAACAAGATTTTCCGGATATTTGCAAATAAATCGACAACAAGAAAAAAATAAAAAAAAACTTTCCACAGGGACCTGCACCTGGAAACAGGGCGTTTGCCGGTACTTTCGGTTTTGCGAACAACCACCTGGGTGCAGGGAAACAATTCATAAAGTGGGTGTCGCAATTGTTGATATTGGGCTTGGACTGACCATACGCCGCTACACAGAGCGTTCTCTTTGCTCGTGAAAAAAAAAAAAAACATGAAAACACCTGATACAGACAGAGGAAATATTCCAAATTCGTATGATACAGTACACTACAAGCAAAATAGGTCGTCTGGCTTATCGAAACCCGAAGTATCACCCATCAACCCAAAAACACCCGATCTCGACTTCGGGTGCCGATCATACCCAACGTCCTGCTATGCATACAGGAAGCAAGACTTGCAGCAAAACCCTCGCGTCTTCAACGGGAGCTCGGCACATCCGGACCTTTTCGAATCTACCTGCTGTTACTCAGCGTTCGCCATGGTGTGGAGGACCAACACCAGTCACACAACACTTGACTTAAAACACACACACGCCGGGCAGACGATGATTGCAGCAAATGACGGCCACGAAAAGCGTAGCGCCACACCCAGAACGGCTCAACAGGAAGAGCCAAACCGAAGTAGCTACGAGCCCCATCATCTCCCGAAGGGAGGGAAAAAAACAATAGTGATAAAAATAAAAAGACAAGACGACAACACCACACACCCGAAAAGAAGGGCGCTTCTGCGGCTGCAAGCCACTGCGGTTTGGCGTGGCTAAACACGATTCCTGCCTACCCACCGGGGAAAACGGCACATCGCCATAGGCATACAGCAGCGAAGGGTCCTCCAGGCACATCGACCGGCACCATGCAGATGAACCGGCGCTATTCAACGTACAGAATGACTTTTCGATGAATCAGTCTGTTCCCAGCAATTTCACGGGCGCTATACAGGGGTCACCGGCGCTAATCGACCGACGTTATTGACGCCACCCCGCTGCACCCGCAAGAATGCTCGATCGCTGTCGCACGCTACGCGGCAGCACAGCTTACTCCGCCGCTCGCTCCGTGCCAAGTCTCACAAATATCACAGACGCGTCTCGGTGGCAATCTAAGAGTCGGCAGAGCAATACCTCACACCACACAAGGCGCCCACCAAAGGCACACGCCCACGACCGGGAGGAAGGGGCATCAAACGAGTCTCAACGACTGCTGCTGTGCTACCAACTGCATGCGCTGCTGAACCGAAATCTGCTGGTCCACCAACAGCGTTTGAAATCAGCGCATTTCAACCGGTTCTAAGCCACACGTTTGGCGCAGATAGGTGGCGCGCACCGGGGCGTGTGCCTTCCACTGCATAGTAGCCGCGCTAAAAAAACGCCAACTATAGTAGGATTCGTACAAAAAGCGCGCAAACCATCCCCGCCGTGCGTCCTCTTCCACTTGCATTGGGCACTACCAACACAAACCAAGCTTTGGAGCAATCCAACCATCGAACTTGTCGCACGCGTCCTAACAGAAACAAACCTATGCATAACAGAAACTTGTCGAAGAACGAATGGTACATGATATGGAACACGAACAACAGGTACATGTAGCTAGGGGGGTGGGCCCTTCTCGATCAAAATATAACGTCTCCACCCAACACGCTTACGTCACTCCACTCGAAAAGGATTCTTGGCAGAAGACAGAACTCAGCGGCACCGGCGCTGACCAATGGGAAGCACGCGGCCAGGAAAAGCGTGGCACGAAGTTTTCTGCACAGTCCAAAAAATATTGCGGCGCAACTTGTTTTCGGAGGTCAAATAAGATCCTTTCTCAGCTGCGAGCGCCTAAGGTCTCTCTGAATGTCATTCTCCAGAGAGAGAAGCTCCAAACGTAACTAATTACTCCGAATCGTCCGGTGGTTCTAGGACCGCCGCAGGGCTAGAGGTGGACTCCCTCCGATTGCCACCGTCGCCGTCGCTGCCGCTGCCGTGACCTCCGGCCCCAGCCGTGTCATTGCCGCTTAGCAAGCTGCTCAGGATATCTCTAAGTGATATCCCCTTGCTCTGCTGCTCCTTGCCGCTAACCCTTCCGGTGTCACCACTTCCAGCGTCCACGTCGCCCAAGCTTGCCCCCGCCACCGCTGCTGCCGCCGCAGCTACTGCGGTCGCATCATCTCCAGTAGCACCATCAACGTCGCCCACGCTTGCCACCACCGGCTGCTCCTCGCCGTCGCCGCTTTGCCTTGCGGTGTCACCAGTAGCACCATCAACGTTGCCCACGCTTGCCGCCGTCGTCGCCGCCGCCGGAGCTATCACGGTGGCGTCATCTCCGCCGTCCTCTTGGCTCACCGCCACCGCCGCCGCCGCCGCCGCTGGAGCTATTGCGACGGCATCATCCCCGCCGTCCTCGGCACTTGCCGCGGCCGCCGCCGCCGGCGGAATGATTGCGGTGGCATCATCTCCGCCGTGCTCGTGTACTACGGCAAGTCCTCCAACTTCTCCATCCTCGTCGAAGCTGCTGTCGGCCAAGCTGAAGCTACGGCTGCTGCCGGCGCTGTTGTCGTGCCCAGAGACTCTACTAGAGGCGGCGACATGCCCTCCCCGCGCGTCGGCGTTGCCTTCGTCGGCGTTGGTGTCCGCAACAGTTGCGGCCTTGTGGGCCTTCAGCGCCCTGAGGTGTGCCTGGAAGCTGTCGTCGATGGGGGGAAGCTTCGACGCCGGCTGCATGCTTATGCGCCGCGTGTGTGACGGCCTGGGTGGTGGGGTGGGGTGAAACACAGGGGTCAGACGACCGTAAACTGCAACGAGAATGCGCTTGCTGAGGCGGTTCGGACGAATTCGCAGCAGTAGTCTAGCCTGCGTGTGATGCTGGTGCTCCAATGGACAGCGCGTGCTTTGCGAAACAACCGAAAGCAAGCGTGAAAAGGTAATGACTCATTCACCACCGCAAGGGTGAAGCGTCGCTGCAGCTGTTTGCATGAGGGAGGCGCACTCACTCGAAATTTCCAAGTTGCGTGACCCCGGCTGATGGCTGTCTGCGGGTGCACCTCGCGCCGAACTACACTACCAACACCACGTCGACGGCCGCTGCCAACGAACCCCCCTAGCAAAAAACAAACAAAAACATGCCTGATGACAAGCAAGGTACCATCGTTGCATTGTCAATTGTCGATAGGTGTGACGTTGAGAAATGGGGGGGGGGGGGGGGGGGGGG